AGTGTTGCTCCCCTGATCCTGAAAGAGTGGCCAGTCATCTTGGACTTCTGTCCCCAGGCTTTTATCATGACGTCTAACATTTTCTTCCGAGTGATGCCCAATAAGCCATTAGGTTTGTGTGTTAAAAACAGCCTCTGATCTTTCTCCCATAGGAAGGACTCTGTCAGTTGTTGGAGGGCCGCTACGGGGCATAGGACTCCACGTGTCTTGCAAAGAACTAGTTGCTGAGTTTCACCCGGTTTGGCGGTCTTTGCCTCTCGTAACGCTATCACAGCGATCTTCGTCCCTTTCGACTTGTGGAAAGATATGTCGCATCGAAGGATTGCCGTTAGATTGTACTTGTTGTATGCTTCCTCCTTACAAACAATCTCTCCTAGGCGTGCTAGCCCCCAATAGGCCGTGAGGGCAAGTGCGGTCAACCCAACAGGGTCGGCTTCGTGCTCTGCGATGCTCCCCACCAAGATTACTAGGGCTTTTGGTGTCACCGGTTCTTGCTCAAGTTTTGTGAAGGGAATTTTTGCTTCTAGTCTTTCCGATGCTTGTATTATTGATTTCAGGCGAGTGAGTTGGATGTTGGGAAAATAGTACCCATGAAAGGCATGCCACGTCCGTAAGGCGGTAAGGTACTTCCTGATCGTGGTCACTCTGACTGGTTTGTTTGTGGCCTTCCTATCTTTGTTCTCCCCCGCCCACACTATAAAGTTCTCCACTACCTCTACCGTCGCCGGAAAGGTCACCAGCTTCTTCTCATTTGTAAACCGTTTGAACTTCTTGACTCCGGAAGCATACAACTCAAGGGTTGATCTGTTCCATGCTGCTCTCAGCATATGACATTGTGCCGTGTTCAGTCGAAGAGGGACGCTGTCATCAATTCGTAAGAAGGTGGAGATATCTTTCATGGTTCTGTGTAGTCGTGTCGCGATCAATACTGGTATGTGGGTTCTGGGTATCGGTCGTGCCTGTTAAAAACCGCAGTGATATTGCTTTGTTTGTCACTGTTACTCGACTCAGTCTCGTGCTGTTTTCCTTATTACTTACTAGATGGATATCTTATTCGGCCAACAAACGTTGTAGAGAGTGTATACTCGACCAAAATGGAGTCTCGCAACAGTTTTGGGTGGAGAGTTGACAGAGGTGTGGTGGGACGTTAACTGGTTGAAGAGAAGAAAGTTAAATTGGTTGACGAGAGGACAGGTGAAAATTTGTTATACGGTCAAAACGAAAAAGTAAAGAGGGTTGATGAGAGGCCAAAGTAAAGTGGGTTGATGAGAGGCTGGGTGAAATGTATTTTACTCTACGGTCAACACGAATCTGGGTGTGAGAAGTTGCAATATCAAGATCGTCTACATCAGAACAGTCACATCTAGCACCTACTTCTTCTTTGTTCTTGGTGAGAAACTTCTATCACCTTGAGCTGTGAATCAAGCGTCGCAATGGGAGTACCCATGACCCATCGGGGTAGTTCCCACTCCTGTCTGACAATTGGCTCAATTAGTCTCTATGCAATCATTTTGGTTTCTGCTACTACCCGTTGTGAAAACTTACTATGTCTTTTTCTTCTACCTGATCGAGCGTCACGTCTTCCAACCACATCTTTAAGTCATCTGGGACTTGAATGTGCACCTGCCTGAACCACTCCTTTGACGAGGGTATGCCGCGAGATAACTTGTCTGCCGCGTTATCCACTGAAGTCACTCTTCTTTGCTCCAACTGAACGTCGTATTGGAATAGGAGTTCGGAAATTTTCTTCCACTCTTCGTTCACCCAATAGTCCCTTGATCTTTCTTTCCGCAGCACACCTTCGGTAGTCGTATTGTCAGTCAGCACTAGCAATCGCTCTTCTTTTACATCTTTCAATTTCTTTACCATGATTAGTCCTAGGCGGACTGCTACGGTTTCCAACCATGCAATTCCCCTCCTTGGCCTATTGGGAGGGTTTTCCCATCCTGTCTTCAGTTTGAACTGACCCCAGTTCTTCCCTATTATCACGCCTATACCGAACGTCGTCGAGGCGTTGCCTACCCAGCCAATATTGTTGATTGGTCTAGTTTTCAGAAGGTGTCTACGAGGAATCTCCTTTAACGCATCTCTCCATACATTCATGTCCTCTCGAACTGCTATCGGCATTTTCCTGTTGGCTGCTACGTTCATCCACTCTGCCAGCCATTGATAGTTGTTTGACAAGTAGCATCTCATGTGTGGAGCAATGTAAGCTACGTGATTGAGTCGGCCATTCATCTTTTGAAACTCCTTATGTGTATAATCTACTTTCTTCAAGAAGGATTCCAATTGTTCTGTTCTTTGCTCTAATTTTTCCTTTCGGTAGTTCCACGGTCTTGTTTTTCGTATTCCACAGAAAACCTATGTATTTTTGTTGTTCACTGAAATGCGAGAATTTCGTTTCATTTGTTTTCACTCCTAAGCTAGAGCTATATTTGACTATCTCGTCCATGTGCACTGTTGAATCTGATTGTTTTATGAGCAGATTATCATCTACCCACCTAATGCTTCTTCGAGTTTAAATTCTTCTTTAATTAAATCCTTCCATGTGTCTGCTGGACCTCCGAAGCTTCCACATCCTGCTACTCCTCCAAAGGAAATAAATAAATCTATGTACATCCTCTCTTCAAAATCCATAATTAATAGGTATGGCCATTGATCCGGCCTCGTCGGAATTTGTCTATATGCTTTAAGCCAGTCAAACAATGCTATTAGTAGTTCGTGTTCTGAATTTGCAATGAAAGGATATACTCTTGAAAAGTTATCCCATGTTGTCTTGAATTCATCCTTGTTCACATAGGAGTTTACGCTAGGTATCATTGGATCGTCTTTTGGGAATGACAGATCGTTTATTGGCCTAAATGATCCATCACCGTTTATTACGGCTCCCATTGGGCTTGACCTAAAGAATTTAAAGTGCTTTGCTACCTCTTCTTTCGTGAAAGGACCTATCATCCGATTCCTACCTGCTAATACTTCCTCTTCTATGCTTTTTTTGATCTTGTCTCTCACTAGTTGAGCTGATTTGTGGTTTGGTGGACAATAATATTTCATTCCTCCTATTGCGTGGTGTGGAATTCCTTGGTCGAAACCATTTCGGAATCCGTCTAGTACGAAATCATAAAATGGTAGTAAGCTATATTTCTTTAGCTCTTCTTCCCATTTCTCTATCACCATGCTACATTTTGCTTTAGTTGGCCAAGTTAGTTTCTCTCCTGCTCGTTCTTTTGACTTTCCAGTCTCTTTTCCTTTTATTTCAATTCTTTCATTATCTGTGTAATTCCTATTACGAAGCAGATTTGACATAAGAATTCATTTCAAGTTTTTCATGGGTACAAGATAATTAAAGGAGTGTCTCAAAATTTCTAAAGCTTAAAGCGTTACAATGGAATTATGAAAATAATTTGAATAAGGAGTGACTTTGAAATAAAATTTTATGTAGTGAAATAATTTGGCATAGCTTAACGAGCGTGGTGGTAATTGAACTCTGGAACATGCTCTTGATTTAACACTCACGTCTCATTCTGCACCTGTCTTCCCGCACCTCTGCCTACTCCTCCTCTAGTACCTCTCCAGGTACCCCTTTCTCCTCTTCCTTGGTAATTGTTGTAATTGTTTGGCTGTGTTGGGTTATTTGTAGCGACGTTTGGGACCGAGGTAAGGCTGACGTTCACCGGTGCTTGGTTTGAGTTTGGTTGTCCTTGACTAGGGAAGCCCATGTGGATTGTCGGTAGTTGATTCTGATGAAACGGGACGTTGTGGTTAAAGTTTGGTCCTCTGTTGTACTGGTTGAATCCGGGTTTTGCACCGTATGAGAAATTTCTGTTTGGGCGTGGGCCTCTTTTTTTCCTATGAAAGTCATTGTTGAAATCTCTAGAGCCCGATGCTGTCGGTTGGTTCTCGGTTGCCGAATTGTGGTTTCTACCATGCGTATCTTTTTAGGTTTCTTTCTTCTTCTAACCTTAAGAATTCTTCTTTACTCACAATGATAAACCAGTCTCGGGGTGTCTCCATTCTAGTTTACCTCCCTTCGCGTAAGGGTTTGTTTCACCTCCATTCGCCTCTCCAAAGTTTAATGACTTGTCTTTGGCTTTGTCTTTGTATTTCTTCATGAATGTACTGATATCTTTTATCGGCTCTTTGTCTAACCTACCACAAAGATGTGTCGTCTGCACAGTATGTCATAACGCAGGGCTGTCATCCAACACTCTGTCGCTCTCCTGTTTTACCGTCTTACTGTTAGTCTTTTTCTTTCCTATTGATTGTAGTCAGATTTACTTACTTGACTTGCTTCACGTTTTTGATGTGAAAGTTGAGTCTTTCTGCTACTTCTTTCTGCTTATGTTGGATCAAGTAACGCTTGAACAGGCTGATGTTTTCTGTCCACTCTCCGTAAGTCATTTTGAACTCGGATGGTGCCTCCAAACCTTTGTTCTTAGAAGTTTTCAACGATGACGAATGATGTTGTCTTTTGTATTCTTCCTTGTCTGCTAGCGCAAAACTTTGATCGAACACTGTCAAGGGGATGGATGACTCTAACTTCTTCATTTGTTTCCTCCAAAACGGCTGTAGTTGGATCAAGTCTGACTTTGGAATTACGCCTATGTTCACTTGTATTCCATTCTTCTTGCTACGTTTCTTTTTCTCAGTCTCCTTCTTCGCTCTTCTTTTTGATTTTTTAGTCGCATTCGACGGTTTAATGTTCGCTATCTTGCCTAACCGTTTGATTTCATTCTTCGCGTCTTCTAGTTTCTTCTTTAACTTTGATGTTTGTTTCCGTTTCTTATCTGTTTTCAAAGAGGAAGAGAATCATTTTTCTCAAGTTAATGGACCGCTCTTTCATCTTATTTTGACTATGCAATGCATTTTCTGCCACTTCTGCTACTTTGGGCTAGGTCAGGTCATTTTTCACCAACGCCATAAAGGCAGATATCTTTCTATGTATCTCTTCCCTCTTATTCAGAGGGGCGCTCTACCCTTCTTGGGAGCTTTCGGGAGAATTAATCGTCACCGAGTAATATAGATGGATAAGGGAATCGTTCTTCGCCGGACGAGATCAAAAAGTGGAATGTGGAGTGGTTTTTAGGAAGGGAGTGTAGTAGAGATAATGGTTCTTTTTATTTCTAAGGGAGGATGTGTGGAGTATAGATTACGAAAGGTCTTTGATGGTTTTAAACTTTCTTACCTTTCTTTACTTCTCTTTCTGAGTCTTCTGACCCGCTCTCTGATGACAAATCCTCTTCGCTTTCTTCGCTGTCGGAATCGGAGCTGGAGCTTGAGCTGTTTGGTTCTTCCTCTCCGTTTGAAGATCCTAAGGAAGGGGAAGATCCTTGGTGATCGTCTAATTCTTCAACTTCTAAATCGTCTGAGGTTCCTCTTGAGTCGTAATTGTCATCCACAAAGTCACCTGCTAAGTCGTCTATATCGGAAGAGGATCGTTCTGCTCTTTCTTTGCCTTTTGGGACTCTAATTGTCGCGTTGAAGAGTGGGTTCGTCTCTGCTGGGAAAGGAATGGGAACGTTTCCGATGAAATTAGAGTAATTATGGCTTTGTGGGGGATCCGGTCTACGCTTCTCTTTCAATGGATCTGGTTGACGTTTCTCGTTGAGTTCTGACTGGCCTCCTAATTCATTTGCGTCGTCGTCTGTCTTGGAGTGTTCGTTATCCTCCTCTTGGTGTTCGTTAGTTGAAATGAGGTTTGGTTCGGAGTTTGACGGTCCCGCCACGTTCTCTCCTAAGGTACCTGTACCTCCTTCGGGGCTAACTTCCAGACCTTGGACTCGACGGCTCGCCCTAATCGCCTTTGACGTGATTGAACTCTTAGTCATCCTTGTTGGCTTGTAATGGGGGATGTCAACTCGGATAAATGTATGTTGATAGGATGGTCAGTAATTAGGTGATTGAATTAGATGAGGATTACTTCAGGGAAAATCAGTTTATATGATAAGTTATAATAAAACGATAAGTTATAATAAAATTTGTTATATGATAAGTTATAAATTTAATAAAACAAAAAAATTTGTTTGTTAGTAAAGGATTATAGACAAGTTAGTTGTACTTGTCGATAATAATAATTGTAACTAATGGATAGAGTAAGGTAAAAGGGAAAATGAGAGATAAATGAGATGGAGTGTAAAGGAAAATGGGAAGACGAGAAAGAGATATCACCTGGCCATTACCCTCGAAACCTGTTTCTCTATTTCGGTTAATCTTCCCATTCGGATTACCATGGGATCCTTTTTGTGTTTTTTATTTCATTTACACTTCCCTTTTGGTGTACATGTCTCTATGAAGTTACTCTATCCATGGACAAATCTAGCTCAGCGTGCCTTGAGCAAGAGGCTAAGAGACCGTGCACACAAATTTATCAAGAAGAGAAATGTTAAAAGGAAAAAGTTTACTTTATTTTAAAAACCTAAGCAATCGCACGATTTTGATTTATTGCAGTTGTAGAAGGACGCGCACAATCACTTTCTAGCCTTGGTGCTAGAAGACTCATAAGCTTGAAGATAAGCTGCGGCTTCAGCAAAAATACCTGATAGAGAGATTTTGGACTTCAACCATTCGCGTACACCTACAAGCCTCGAAATAGCCTTTGCTGTTAGAGAAGCCCGTCCAGGGACTGCAATATCAGCAGCCGACAAGAAGGTCCTCTCACAAGGACAGGAGGTACCGGATAATCCGAGATAATCTCGAGCAAGAGATGCAAGGACGGGGAAATCCTTCTCGTGCTCCTATATGCAGTAATAAAACAAATCAGTAAAATTATATATAAGAGATTGAGCGAGGAAAGATGAACATACATTCCACCAATCTAACTCCGACTGACCGGCAAGCATAAGATGAGCCCCCTTGATATAGTCAGCATGCTCTTCCTGGTGTTTATCAGCAGGTGACTGAGCCGTGACTTGAGTTGTAAAAACATCGAATTGAGTACAGTTTGGAGTGGGTGAGGTGGAAATGGAAGGAGATTGGGTCACTTCATCGGAAGTAGAGATGGGGTCTTCAGGCCAATCTTCAAGAGCTTTTTCGAAGGTTTGTCGAAATATGTTTTTGGCTCGAACAGCCTCTTCAGGGTAATTCAGGTCAAAAAAGCGAATCCGGAAGCGAGGATTGAGAATTGTAGAGATCACGATTGCATCACACGCAACTGCTTCAGATTGATAACCTTCCATTTTGTTGCGCATCAACTCCAGCATAGCCTTCAAATCTAAGTCTTCGCAGGCATTAACAAGGTGATCAAGTTCCAAAACTACCCGTGAGTATTCAGCGAGCAAAATGCAACCGGTGGCCAAGTTGCCTTCCATGCGTTTAGTAGCATACAAAAAGACCTGTAGAGATGGTGTCAGTGAGAATTTCAAAGATATCAAAAGTTCACAAAGAGACCAACCTGAAGTATTTTTACCAGGGTCTCGATTGAGTCCCATTCGTCAGCACTGATCTGCAAACCTTGGTAATACCAAGTTTTTCGGTCACTTAGTAAAATAGCATCGACAACCTATGGATCAAGATAATATAAGAGGAGGAGACATGAGCCAATGAGGATTGAGAGAATGAGAAGAAAAAGGTAAAGATATGTACTCACATCACGCGCATCACTCAACCTTTGGAGGTAGTCAGCGTCGATATTCCATCGCATTCCCCACCCAGATATAGGTGAGCGACCTCGGTAATTCATTTGCTTAGCCTTTGCTATAAACTCTTGACGTCTTGCTGAACTCCTGGTACACAGGCCATTAAACTTCTTCGCCTATAGGTTTTAACATTTGATTAGCCATTGAAAGAGAGGTAGGAGTTGTGAATGTGAGATACTGACTTTACAAACAGCCCAAGCTACTTCACAAACTGAGTCAGCTTCAACATCATCAGAATCCGAATCTGACAAGTTATCATCAATTGGCTCTTGATTGTGATCAGGATCATCTTGCTGCTCATCTTCAGATGAATCAAAGTGGAGATCTTCATCGCTTTCATTCAAAGTCATGATTGGCGTTGGTAAGGTAATTCCAGGAGAGGTCGTAGGCTTGACGTGACCAGCGCGCAGACCCAAAGACTTGAGTCCAGCCTTGACTACCAGGCCGACCTTGTGGGTGTAACACTTGATTTGATTAGCATACGCATCCCACTCGACCAACTGTTCAGCTTTCAGGAACATGCTTGACAACTCGTTGGCCATGGTGGCATTTGAGCTAGCCGAATCCGTCGTCTGAGCCAACATGTGATAGAGCGAATACAAAGGTTAGCTGATTCAAACATGAAGGAAGAGGGAAGTGAGATGAGGAAGAGCAGAAATTAGTTAGGGAAAACAACTTATCTTTTTATGCAAACCATGTGTGATCAAGAAGCGTCCGACTGGTTGTGCAAGGAGTCGGCCAGTGTGGTGCCAGGTTACTAACTTAAGAGTAAGATGAAGGGTCTGGAACTTCCAGTTGTCGTCGATATAAGTAGCAGAAACACCTATAAAGGCTTTACGACAGCCCTTAGTGGTCCACACATCGTAGATCAGGCAAAATTTGCCCCTATTAGACTATCAAAAAGAAGGACAATCAATCAAGGTACAGTTCAACAAGGAAATCATTATGATCAAAAGGACTTACTTGAAGCTTGCTGATAACTGTTTGAGAGAGGTCTTGATATATAGCCTGGGTTTCTCTGCAGCCCAAGTTGTACCTCGTAAGTTGGCACCTTGATTGGATAGCTTAAAGGCAGCTCTGAGGGGGGGATCGTGGAATCGAGAGAAAGGAAGTGCGTGTCTTAAGATCCATACCACTAACACAGTGTTGAGGAGATCAACACTGGAAGTTGATTGAGAAAGAAAGGAATCAAGGGTCGCTTTGGGGTTGGTGGAAGATACTTGAACCATATCGTCTTGCTGTTGTTGATAACTTCTGGGCAATTCGTGACCGTCTTTGATGGCAAGGTGGCGCTTGGGGCAAGCTGGTCAATCCATGGCACCATCTTGATGCGAGTATAGGTTATAATATGATTGCTTGCCACGAACAAAGAATGCCAGGCAGTAGCAACACTTGTACCTACGAGGATTGGGACCAGACTAAGTAATGCAGATTGTCAGCAACAAGGAAAACAAAGAAAACAAAAAGAAAAAGATCTGACGTACCTCCCCTTTCACGTGAATAGGGTCTTCATAAAACTCCAACAGTTTCGATACCCGTCCAAGCCGAGCCCGACGGACTCCAGGAGTCTCGACGACTTCAACATCTGAATCTTGATTCACATCTAGACCAACGGGCACATTGTAGTCCTGAAAAGGTAGAGCTGATCAGCCATTGCAAAAGAAATTGAGATAGAGATGTGACCAAACGCTTGAACTTACCTCAATGACTGTATTTTTTGGTTTCTTGACTCGGTGCTGGTCGGGATGATGACGAGTTTGAAACGTTACAAGAGTGCGGATCCCTTTCTCTTTCCCTTGCCAATGTGACGTCACCTTGCGCAGGGGGGGTCTGCCTTTTTTTTTTTTTCTTTTTTCTTTTTTTTTTTTCTTTTTTTTCT